GTGGGTGTGGGTGTGGGTGTGGGTGTGTGTGTGTAGGTGTGTGAATGTCTGTTTAGTTGTGAACATCATGTATATCTGTGTGTGTGAATGTCTGTTTAGTTGAGAACATCATGTATATCTGTATGTGTGAATGTCTGTTTAGTTGTGAACATCATTTATACCCGTATGAGTGTGTATGCGTGCGTGAATGTCTGTTTGGTTGTGTACGTATACAGTACATTTGTGAGTACACAGCATCAATCACTCACCGTTCTGTCGTGTGCGCGATGACAAGACGTGCTGGTGGAGAGAGCCCGAGCTGCCCTGGTCTGCGCGTGCCCGCTGAGTGAGGTGCCAGTCCAGCGGGTGCCTTTGCTGCTGTGCCGAGTGCGGGTGGGACGACTGAGCCTGGCGGGCCGGGGACCTCCTGAACACCTCCTGGCTTCCGTCATCTGCTACTGGCTCCGACAGCTTCCCGCCGCCATCTTCTTGCTGTTGTTGCTGCTGCTGCTGTTGCTGTTGATGTTGTTGATCTTGCCGCTGTTGTCCTTGTAGCTGTTGCTGTTGCTGCTGCTGTTGTTGTTGTTGCTGTTGTTGTTGCTGCTGCTGCTCGCTGAGTGCCGCCACGTCATCGATGGTGATCTGCTCCGCCAGCTCCGAGAGGCTGTCGTCGTAGTTGCGGCCCCGCTTGTTCAGGGTCAACGACAGACGGCGCTTCAGCTTTTTCATCATGCTGGCCTGGCCCCGCCCCCTGAGCCCCGCCCCCCGGCCGTCCTGGCTCCGCCCACTGGCCTCGCGCCGTGAGGACACGCCGTCCGCGACGCCAGAGGAGTGAAGGACGAGTGTGGACGGTGAAGGTGGTTGTGTAGGTAGTGGTGCTTGTAGTGGTGGTGGCGTCTACCCCCGGCTCCCCCCAGCGGCGGCCTGCCACAAACAGACACTACTCCAGGACGTCCGCACACAGCCGCCCTCCGACAAACCCTCACGCCACGCAGGCCGCAGTACCTGGGAGGATCAGATAAGAACAAAAATAAGAATAAAACAAAATGAATGAATGAATGAAAGAAAGAAAGAAGGAAAAAGTAAAAGGACGTTGTTGTTGTTTTTAATAGTAGAGGCTTTTACGGCGCTCGCAACTGCATAAGGTCATATGAGCGCCAAGGGGTGGGCGTCAACTGAGAAGTCTTTACAGGGAATCAGATTTAGACTGCTCACTCCTCTAACTTCAACAGCACAAGGTCTGCTTCGACTATCAAGGCATCCCAATATAGCAGGTCACAGGGGAGTGACAAACATACAAAAGAAGTAGAGGAACATGACAATAGTAAGGAGCAGGAAAGAAAAAGCAGCAGTTCCCTGTTGTAGATCAGGCACAGTTATGAACGAGACATGAGTCAGCCCATTTACAATTCTACTATGCTTGAACGAGATATGTCTCCCCTTTGGGGGCCTAAGGACACTTCAGTCAGTGGCACTGCCCCGGGGGGTAAAGGATGTTTGTTTGTGTTTGAGAAAAGAGAAGCACATCGACACAATAATGGTCTGTTAGGGGTCGTCGGGTTTTGTTTTTTTTGTTTCTTGTTTTTTGTTTGCTTGTTTGTTTGTTTTACTAAGTGTTTTACGGCACTTGCAGCGCAATAAAGTCATATAGACCTAAGTGCCGAAGGTTAGAGAAAAAATGGTACGGGTTTAACGATAATAAAATATTTCCTTTCCCAAGGACACAACGGCGGGTCCGAACCCTCAAACTTGCAATCTAAAGATTACGAGTCCAGTAGTCTAATCACGAGGCTATCGACACCACCGAAAAAAGGTGAAATGCTATAGGTGTAATGCCCTTATCAACACAAATAGGTTGTATAATTTAAGAGGCGGGGCATCTGAGTTTAGCATCCATCTCCGAAGGGACCAAGCCAGATGGGAAGTTCGTATAAAGTGCCTACAACGTCGGACGAGCTGAGACTCGAACCCCCGAACCCACAATCTCACGATTGCGAGTCCGGTAGCCTAACCACTAGGCTGCCGATGCCCCAGAGAAAAGAATAATAAGAATAAAACAAAATGAATGAAAAAAAAAGGCAAAGAAAGAAAATGTAAAAAAGATGTGTGTTTGATTTTGAGTAAAGAAAAGCACATCGACACAATAATGGTCATTTAGTGCTTTTTTTTTGGGGGGGGGGCTTTTTTTGGGTGGGGGGGGGGGGAGACAGATAACGCAGAAACAAAAAGGTGAAAGTAAAGAAGTAGGACAAAACAGTGGGGCACTCCAACAACCCGTGGTAAAAAGGTGGAAGAATAAAAGAAGAGATGAAGGAATACATGAATAAACAAATCAGGCACAGGGTAGAAGTCGGGGTCGGGGGTATGAGACTGACAGCGAGTTACGTCTACTTAATATCTTGTTAATATGCCCACAAATTAATATAAAATCCCCCCAGTCTGACAAGCTCGTTGGTTTGAAAAGCACAGTTTTTGGAAGGATATTTTTAGCTAAAGTGAGGGTTTTACGGCACTTGCAACACAATTCGGTCAAATAAGCGTCGAGGGTTAGATTAAGAAGTGTTACCAGAGATTAACATCAAAGAAAGAAGGAGGGGAGATAAAGACGATAGCAGATGTTTGATAAGAAAGAAGGAGCAAGTCACACAAGAGCGCCTCCCAACCACCCATAAAAAGCACAGGACATTGGGCAGAAAAGGTACAGTAGGGCATAAAAGGCATGGGGGGGGGGGGGGCATAAAGAACTATAACTTATAACAACATGCATGAACATGACAAAAATGCCTTTATTTATGCTTACTTCACGACCTTTGTGATGAGCAGAAGCAGTGAAAACATGCCAAGACTTACATTCTCTCTTTTTTTTAAATTGTAAGTACTTTTACGCCCCCATGGACACAATTTAGATCACTCAAGAGGCGGCAATATGTTTTTAGAGACTCCTTTCAAAGACAGAAACGCAATAAGGAAATGGCAAAAGAGGAAGACTGATCAGAGGCACGTCCTCTATGCACTCACTCTCGAAGCTGACAAATCTGGAAAAGTCTACATTACAAGCGAACGAATAAAATGTCTGATTTTGTATCTTGCAGTATTTAAGGAGATTTGTCAGCGCCCCCCCCCCCCCC